GCGGCGCCCCGGGCCGGCCCTGTCCTCCCATCACTTCCGTGCAGCAGCCCTACGGAGGCTACGAGGTGGTGGGCGGCTCCTCTAACAGCTACCTCGTCCCGGGCATGACCTACAGCGGGGGCAAGATCTACCCCGTGGGCTACTTCACCAAGGACAACCCTGTCAGGGGCGCCCCCGGGGGTCCCCCTCTTGCAGCCGGGCCCCCGGTCTCTGAGGGCAAATACTTCTCCAGCAACCCCATCATCCCCAGCCGCACCTCCTCGGGCTCCTACCAGTCGGGGGTGCCCCCCGCCATCGTGTTCCAGCCCTTGGGCTCCGGCGGGGTTCAGCCCTGCGGGGTCGGCTCCACAGGCTCCAAGGGCCCCTGCGGCCCCTCGGGTTCCCGGGTGTACATCAGTTCTAGCGTGCAGGGCGGCTCCAGCTCGTCCTTCCAGCCCTGTGGTGGTTCCTCCCAGGGGCCCTGCTCCCTGCCAGGGCCCGGCTCCTTCAGCGGCAGCTCCAGCTCCAGCTCCCTGCCAGGCACCAGGGTCATCCTGCAGCCCTGTGGCAGCAAGTCCGTCCCCGCTGGCCACCCCTGCATCTCCGTCTCCTCCTCGACCTTGAGCGGGGGTCCCGACGGCTCTCCTCAGCCCGATCCATCTGCTGGTGCCAAGCCCTGCGGCCGCAGCAGCCCTGGAAGGATTCCCTGCCGCTCCATCCGGGACATCCTGGCCCAGATACAGCCCCTGGGGCCCCAGCTCGCCGACCCTGCCGCCTTCCTACCCCCAGCAGAGGGTCCTGCCAGCTCCTGAGCCGGCCGTCCAGTGCTCAGGCGTCAGGCGCAAGCTCACACTGCCTGCTCCCAGGCCGGCCAGGCCACGTCGGCTCACCCTGCTGCCTCCCGAGCGCTCGCAGCCGCAGGTGCACGCGCCTGTCGCCTGCTGTCCGTCTCCATCACCCGATGGCGGGCTCCCAGTCCCTCCTCTTCCTCTCCGCGGCTCCGCCCAGCCCTGCTGCTGTGCCCCGTGCCAGCCTCTTTCCAACTGCCCTGCTGTTTCCTCGGCTGACTGAGGTGACCACTGGCCCTGCGAGTCCTTGGCCGGAAACCCCAGGAATGCTCTTGGACCTCAACGCCCAGACCCGTCCGCGTCATCCCGACTCTTCCCCTTTGCCAAATAAATCGACGTCCACGCCATTCCCCGAAACAGTGCCCACTTTTCATTGAGCCGCCTGTTACCTCTCCGCCAGCCATTCCGCCCTTGGCCGTGTCCAGGCCTTCCCTGCCCTCGAGCTCTTGGTCTTGGCCCCCGGGCGTCCCCTCGCCGCTCAGGTGCTGCCCTGTGTGAGGAGGACATTGGTGCCTCGAGGAGAGAGCAGGCGGCCTGCTCTCTCTGGGCCCTGGCCGGTTCAATAAACTGTGCGAACTTGAGGCCTCTGCGTCTCCTCTGCCTGCTTTCGCCCCACGGCCCCGGTTCTGCTCCCTAAGTTGACCCCACATCTTCCTCCCTGTGCAGCTTCTCCCACGAAGAAGAGACAGCAGTATTTGCCGGAGTGGAAGCATGCCTGTCCCCCAGAGGCTCTCCCGCCTCTCCTGCCCGCTCACCCTGGGGTGCGCCCGCCCGCCCGTGCAGTCTCCTCAGCCCCTTGGCCGTCCCCACCACTACCGTGGCTCACCTTCTGGGCACCGTCCTCTCGGGGACCCCAGCACCAACGTCCTGGGCTTCCGGGACGCCCATCTCCCTGGACGGGATTCCTGGCCACTGAGTGGGAGGCTGTTGCTGGGACGGAGGGCGGAGAGAGCAAGGCGGGGTGGCCGCGTGGCGGGTGGCTGTGTGGTGACTCACCAGGCGGCTCGGCGGGGTCCCAGCCTCTGGCAGGGTCGGACGACGTGTCCTCTCCACTGGCCACGCTTCTGCCGCTGTGGCTCCCGGGGCTCATCCAGAGCCTGATGGTGGGACCCCGGGACTGGTCCCCAAGGGAGTGTTCATATCCTTGGGGAGGAGGGGAGGCTCCTGAGGAGGGTCTCACTTCCTGCAGGCCCCACTCAGGGCCTCTGCCTGGCTGCAAAGGGATTCACCCCGGGGTGGGGGGCTGACCCTCTCTCTCCTAGTGTGGTGGATAAGCTGGTCCTGAGTTTGTTTATTTCAGTACTGGGGTTGAATCCTGGGCCTTCACACTGAGTCATATCCTCAGCGCATTTTTATTTTTTATTGTGAGACGGTTTCACTAAGTGGCCCAGGCTGGGCTTGAACTTGTGATCTTCCTGCCTCAGCCTCCCAAGTGCTAGGACTGCAGCCACACACCACCATTTAGAATTTAGAACAGTTGAAATTCCAAGTCCAGAACCAGCAGCGGTATGCTATATTAACTACAAAATGGTAGGAGGCTACTGGACCGAACTTCATGGCTCACTGGAAACTGCCGGGCCCCAGAACAGCCCTGTTGGGGCCGTCACTGTGAAGTCAGCCATGGTCCAGCATCCAGAGCCTGGGGTTCAGCCAGCAGGACCTCAGAAGCTCCTGGGATGGGAATTACAGAGGGACAGGGAGGCCCCAGATGTGGGATTCCTCTATCTGGTGTGGTCCAGGCCAAAAGCTTCTGTAAAATTGGTGGATGCCGCCCCAAAAAGCCGACTGAACTCCCTCTCTTGTGCAGTTCTGGGGAGGAGCATTTATGAGGACAGAGCTTATTCCCTTGAAGCAGCCAGGAGAGCCTATCCGGTGGCTTCCAGAAGAAATGGCAAGGACATTTTATTATAAAAATTTCAGGGATTTAGCTCAGTGGTTTCACTACCTGCCTGGCAAGTACAAGGTCCTGAGTTTGATCCCAGGTACAAAAAAAAATTTTTTTTTTCCAAACATGTTTGTATCAGTCTATTTTCTGTTGCTATAACAAAATACCTGAGGTTAGGTATGTGTAAAAAATAGAAGTTTATTTTGCTCAAGAATATGACAAGGGCTGCATCATAATATGGCAGATGGTATCATGGAAAGAACAGGTGTGTGTGTGTGTGTGTGTGTGTGTGTGTGTGTGTGTGTGAGAGAGAGAGAGAGAGAGAGAGAGAGAGAGAGAGAGAGAGAGAGATTATGGGGCAAGGCAGGATGCTGGATGCAGAGAGGCTTCGGGACCAGCTCATTCTCTTTTTTTGTCCCGGTACTGGGGATCGAACTCAGGACCTCATGCTTGCCAGGCAGATGTGGCACCACTGAGCTACATCCCAGCCCTGGCTCAGTCTTTTCGTAACAGCCCACACTCACGGAACGAATTCACTCCGAGAGGAGTACACCCATCACCTACCTGAACGACCTGATCGCCTCCCCACACCGGGGACCACACCTGTGCACCTTCGGAGGACCCACTGGAGCCCGAGGCACAGCACAGCAATGCCTAAAAGCAGACTAATGACCGAGTCCCCACGCCCCCTTCAGTCTGACCAACAGTGATCGGGTCATGGCCGTCTGAGGAGGGTTTAAATGTCCCCTCTGCTTTGCCCAGGAATAGCAGCTCTCTCACTGTTGCCTGTATTTCTGTGCACGCTTCTGGCCACATGTGGTAGGTAGGTGCCCAAGTTAGACTGCACGGCAAAGGAAAATAAGGAATTAAGGTTGTTAGTCTTTAAATAAGGGATTATTCTGGATTATCTGGGTGGGTCTAACATAATCACAGGGTTTTAAATTCGGGCCTGAGAGACAGAAGAGGAAGCCATGTGGTATGATGTGGGAAGAACTCGTTCGGGCTTGGAAGATAAAGTGAGGGAACACGGTGGCCCTGAGAAGCTGGAGGGGCAGACCCGGCCCAGGAGCCTCCGGAACGCAAGGCAGCAGCTGCCACCAAACTTCCCATCCAGGGCCCCACGCTGGACTTTTGGGCAATAAACTTGTGTTGTTCGCCGATAAATTTGTGGCACTTTGTTAGAACAGGAACAGGAACAACATGCTGTCATTTCAGAAGAATGGGACCTGGCCTGTTTCCCCAGAAACAGTTGGTGGGAGCAGCCCCTTAGATGGGTCTGCCTATGTACCCCAGAACCTCCTGCAGACGGGACGGGTGTGAGAGAGAAGGGAACCAAGGGCCTGTTAACTTCCGAGAGAAGCAGGAGGACATCGGGCCCCGCAGGCGAAGTCTCTGAGGGCTTCGTGTAGGGAACCCGGGAGGGGCAGGGCTGGCAGCCCAGGATGAGCCACAGACCAGGACACCTGGGACAAGGAGCGGCAGGAACACCCAGCCTTCTCGGGGACATTCAAGTGACACCTGTTGCCACAGACCGTGTCGAGAATCGGGGTGGAACGTGGAGAGCCATTGTCTCCACGGCCACCGGCCCGGCCTGTTCCTGTGGCCCCCGCCCCACCGACAGGATAAAGGGGCTGCCGTCTTGGGGCCGAGGGAGAAGCCGGAGGCGAGCAGGATGCAGGGCCGTGTGGCAGCGCGCCGGGCCCCTCTGGGGCTGCTCCTGGTCTGTCTACACTTCCCAGGTACAGAGGCTGGGCGGCCTGGGGCAGGAGGCACCGGGCACCAGCCACCGGGCACTGGAAATGAGGCCAGGAAGAAGGGCAGGAGGAGCGCAGGGGCCACACAGGGTCTCGGCTGAGGGCAGAGACGGAAGGCGGGAAGGGCGGGAGTCAGTGCCAGGCGTCCCACCCACTGGGCGCTTTGTCTTCCCCTCAGGCCTCCTTGCCCGGAGCCTCGGAGCCTCGGAGGAGAAGGGGTCCCCGCACTTGGGTGCCCACCTGCCTGTGCCGGGACAGCCGCCCTTCCCCGGCCCCGCCGACACCGGGCGTCCTCAGCCCAACATGGACCCGGGCTCTCATGGCTTCGTGGGGGCTCCTTCCAAGTTCCGTGTCCCTCTGGGGGGCCCGCCGGCTGCAGGACACTCAGGGTGGCAGATGTGGCCTCCATCCTGGGGGCTGCCCCCCACAGAGTCCTGGCCCCCCGAGGCCCCTTGGCCGATGGCGGCCGGGGCAGCTGGGGAGCACGAGGACCTGGCCTACCTTTCTGGCGCCGGTGCCCTCCCTCTGGACAGTGGGCCTTGGCCGGCGGCACCACCCTCACCAGAAGCTTCGCCCGTCCCGCAGGACTCGGAAGCGAGACAGCTGACCCTGGCCAGCCTGCTGGGGGCCCACGGAGAGCTCCTCGCCCAGCGCCCCTTCTGGTCTCTCATCCACCGGCTGCTGCCTGGTCTCCCCTGGGGGGCCCTGAGTCCCAGTGTGCCTTGGGGAGGTGGAGTTCTGGGGACCGGATGGGGCACCAGGCCCATGCCCTACCCTTGGGGTAGTAATAATCGATTCCCAGGAGGCAGCTGGGGGAGCATTAACCGGTACCCAGGGGGCAGCTGGGGGAGTATTAACCGGTACCCAGGGGGCAGCTGGGGGAGTATTAACCGGTATCCTGGAAACAGCGGGGGGAGTGTTAACCGGTATCCAGGGGGCAGCTGGGGGAATAACAGTCGCTATCCTGGTGCTAACTGGGGGAATATTCCTCCCAAGGTCGTCCGTCCCCCTGGCCCTTCTTGGTACAGCCCAGCTGGCTTCCCTGCTCCTCAGAATCCTGGCTTGCAGTGGGATTGGAGCTGAGCACAGGGGAGCCCAAGGTTGGAAAGGGGCGCTGGCTCCGCCCCCGCCCAGGGTGGAATCAGTCTTACCCTGCATTTTCCAGCCCGGTGCCCAGAGCTCAACGCCTCCCTGGCTGCCCCACGCTGATCCCCAATAAAACACAAGCAGTTCTCGACTTATGCTTCTCCTGTCCTTGCTTCCGGGCACCCCGTCCATCCCTTTTCTAGCCGGCCTGTGGTCGGTCCAGGGCCTCACCCGCCCAGTTGCAGGCGGGGAGCTGGGTCCTGGGCCCTGGGACTGGGAGGGGAGGAGGCCCAGGATGAGCTGACGTGCAGGGCCCAGGGAGCCGGGGCCCGGGGGCGCCTCCCACACACGGAGGGCACCGGAGAGGAGAATCAGCGCAGGAGAGGAGGAGACACTCACCCTGCGGAAGCTCCCTCGCTATCTCCCACGAACCTTCGGTTTCCAGGCAGCTGTGGCTCCTGTACCAGAGCTTCCGGGGCCGGGGAACGATGCCAGCCGTCAGCCGGTTGGGCAGTAGAGTGGAGGGGCTGGGTTCTAGGCTCTCTTTCCCTCAGGTCCTGTGCTTGGCCCTCAGGGACCCAGGCATCCCCACTGTGCACAGCCTGGGATCCCAGGTCCAGGCACCGGGCAGCTTGGGGGAGAGGAGGCCAGAGGAGGACAAGCCCAGGCCGAGCACAGGCGCCCACCTGAGGGAGGGCATCCCCTATCCCGCTGCTCCTGCGGTCCGTGCTGGGTCCCCCCCTGGCTTCTGTCAGCTCCCCCCTCGCCCAGTTCTTTTCCCTCTGGAGCTCTCTTGGGTTTTCCTAGTCCTGGGGTGAGGACAAGAGCTGTTTTCTGCTCCGACTCCTGCACAGGCCCACAGGCCTTCTTTCAGGATTGAGGGCTTGTTTTTCTTTATTGCTCTTCTGGTTGCCCCACTCTTATTTGGATATCTTTTTCCTTTACTGGGGATTGAATGCAGGGCCTCTGTAATGATCCGCATCACCTGCCCCTTTTCGTTCTGAGACAGGGTCTCCCTAACTCCTTCAGTGGCCCAGGCTGGGCTCAAACTTTCAGTCCTCCTGCCTCAGCCTCCCAGAATGCTGGGATTACAGGTGTGTGTCACAACACCCAGGGAGGAGTTTTAGATTCTATATCCCGATCCCCTGCTCTATTCCCTGGACTTTGTCTGCTGAACACTGCACCCCCAGCACCAAGAACAGTGTTGGGAAGGCCCTCAGCAAACACTGGGCAAGTAGGGGAGTGCACCCTGTCTCTCCCTCTCGGAGGCCTCCAAAGGCCCAGGTGTTTCTGGCTCCGGCTGGGCAGTCCCGGGAGGTGGCGGGAAGCGTAAGAGGCAGGAGGTCCTCAGGTCACTGGAGCGGGGGTGCCCTTGACAGTTCGGCCGCGGGACCTGGCCCTTCCCTCTCTCTGCTCCTGTGCTCACCTGAAGTAAGTGTTTTGCCCCAGCTCTTGCTCCCACCATGATTCACTGCCTCCCCACAGGCCCAAAACAACGGGGCCAACCTGCCCTAGACTGGACCTTCCAAGACCATGGGCCAGGAGAAGGCTTTGCTTGTCAGGAGTTGATCCCCTCAGGAGTCCGTTATAACAGAAAGCTGACTAGCCCAAGTCTCTGCCGTTTTCGCTCCTCTGCTCTTCTCCTGAGCCACCCAGCTGCACACAGTCTAAGCCGAGCCCTTCCCAGCGCCTCTCCGAGCTTTTCTCTGCTCACACCGCGCTCCACAGTCATCACTCAGCCCTCGTCGCTGTGTGTGACGAAGGCGTTTAAGATTCTTTCCGCTGATGGAAACACAGACTCGGAGAGACCAAGCAACACGTGACGGGCAGTGGATCAAACCTCATTCTCCTGTCTGTCCGAGGAGTGTTCAAGCACGCGCAGTTAGCAGAAATATCAGCTGAATTTGGTCACCTGCGCCAGGCCCTGGACAAGGGGGCTTTCTACACACCCTTGTACCAGGGCCTCTCCCACCCCACGGGGAGGCACTGAGGGGCCCTTGTGCAGGGGGATACTGAGGCCCAGGGCGGGCCGGGGACCCAGAGCTGGGGCTGAAGTTGGTCTGCAGTTCGGTGCTGGTGGCTCTCAGGGCGCTGGGCCGCCGTGGGCAGTCAGAGGAGCGCTCTCTGGCTCAAGGCTAGTTGGCGCTTAATCCGGTACGTAGCAGAGGTTCACCGCTGGTGCGCGGAGTGGTGCCTTTGGAGTGGTGCTAAGAAGTTGTGGCTGAAGCAGGAGGAGCTGCTTCTCTCACGAGAGGAGGGAAGGTGCGGGGGTAGACAGAGCAGGTGTTCAGAAGCTGGAGGACTGGAGCTGCGCGCTGACGTAGGCCGGCCGTGAGCTCTGTGAGACGGGATGAGAGCAGACGTCTGGCCTACCCCACGGGGTGGCCGTGAAGTTTTATTAAGACAACGATGAGGTGCACTTGTGACTGGAGAGCCCTGAGCCTGCGCCGGGGACAGTGGTGGGGCAGGGCTGTCCTGCGGGGCGGCTCTGGGAGGCCCTTCGGGGGGACGGGCTGGTGCCCACTTTCCCATCCACCCCCAGCCGCAGCTGCTCCTCTCCCGCTCCGAGTCTGTGTCCCGAGGGACCTGGCAGCACCTGCTGCCCGTTTGTCATCCCGTGGGTGGCTTTATTGACAAGCTCAGCCTGGATCCTGTTCTCTAAGCGTTAGGGAGCCCTGAATTCAGGACCAGGTGGCTTCACCTCACCGGTGTTGGCCCTGGAGCTGCCCGGGGCCAGTGGTGGCCAGTGAAAGGCTCCCCTGGTCCCAAACCCGCTCTTCCCTGGGCTGAGCCGGGCGTTGGTGTCCCTCAGCTCAGTGCCCCGCTCCGTCCCGCGTCACACACACAGGTGAACATAGCGCCCTCCACTCTCCCAGGGGTGATGCTAATGCCGGCTTCCTGCAGACAGGTAGTTCCAGGGCTTGAGGCCTCGCCTGGGGCACCTCGCTGCTCATAGAGGCCTCCCCTGTCTAGGGCAGGGCGGTGGGGGACAGCAGGAGCACCCCGCTTTCTGAGTCTGTGGATCTGTCCGTCCTGGACATCCCACCCCAGCGAGCACTGCGACACGCGGACTTGGGCCCAGCCGGCTGTGTCTCTGGGCGTGAAGCTTGCGGTTCCCGCAGCACCGGGCCCCTGTTGTGAATCCCTTCCCGCTCCCTTAGGTCCCCACATTCTGTTTCCTGTTGTTGTTACCAGCAGGCCTTAGTGAAGATTTACGCACGCTCGCTCGTACCTCACCTCTCCGAGATTAATCATCTCCGAGGAGGTCAGGACTGGGGCAGCCAGGGCCAGCAATGGGCGGAGGCCGGGGACCAGCGGGAGAGTGGTTTTCAAGTCTTTGTCACATCTGGGGGAGGCCGGGAAGCCTTTGGTTGGGACATCAGAACCTGGGGCCCCCGAGTGGGGTTTTGGTTGGAGTCTGGTGCCCGCGCTGTGTCCGGGCCCCGGCCCTGGGCACCCCCCACACCCCGCTCCCTCCTCCCGTGTCTTTCCAGTTCTTTGTCCAGTTCTGATTATTGTTTTACAGTACTAGGAACTGAATTCAGAGCCTTCACTCTAAGCCACATTTCCAACCCTTTAATTTTTTTTTTTTTTTTATTTTTGGGCCGGGTTTTTCATTTCCAACCCTTTAATTTTTTTTTTTTTTTAATTTTGAGACAGGGTCTTGCTAAATTGCACAAGCTAAACTCAAACCTTGAGTCCTCCTGCCTCAGCCTCCCAAGTGCTAGAATCTCAGGTGTGCACCACCCCACCGAGCCAAACATTCATGTTTCTCCTAAAGGTCACTTGGGTTGGACTGCTTGGCTTTCTCGCCTTTCCCTGTGGGTTTCTTTTCTGCTTCCGTGGATGAAAATAAGAACCTACCTGGGCCTTGTGAAAGACGCATGATTAACAGGAGCAGACCAACAGCGCCCTGCCCAGCCCCGAGCGTGTTAAGGACTCATCCTTCGTTCTGACAACCGCCACCTGTGATGCGGGTCTGCGGTGGACGTGACCTCAGGGCCGGCTGCAGCCTCAGTTTACCTGGGTTCACCGCCAGGACTCAGCTGCCCGCCCTGAGCACGGTGCCACCCTGGCCTCGCTGTCAGCCCCTCCAGGCCCCCAGGTGGCCTGGCTTTCTGCAGCCACAGAGCATCCAGGCCCCACTTCATTCTCCCCCTCAGGATACGAGGAATCATCCAGGGTCTTTGTCACTGGAAGTGGAGAGCGTATTTTAAAAAGTTTTAAAATTTTGTGAAGAACTAGACTTCATAACATAATAGCAAGAGGATAACAATAGTTAATACACTGCGAATTGTCATCTTCAAAGTAGTTACCCAGAGTACAAGACTGATAAAAAGATCCTCTTCACAAACCAATAAATAGCAAAAAACTCGCTTTTCTGTGACCTAAGTGAAGCTAATAGTAGAAATGAAACAAATTAGCATATATATTAAAATATTTTTGAAACAATAGAATGGGTAATTTGGGGAATTATTTTAATTTCTGCCTACTTCCTATTTATCTATCTTCTAATTTACTATTTTTTTGTGGGGGAGGGGGGCACCAGGGATCAAACTCAGGTCCTTCTGCTTGCGAGGCAGGTGGCAGAACCACTGAGCTAAATTCCCGGCCCTCTTTCTTTTTTTAATTAAAAGAAAATTTTTGATACAGGGTCTCACTATGTAGTTCAGCCTGGCCTTGAACTCACCATGTATCCCAGGCAGGCCTCAAACTCAGGAATCCCTCCTGCCTCAGCCTCCCAAGTGCTAGGATTACAGGCAGGTGAATCTCCCACTTTCTACTAATGTCTATGTATGTATATATCTTGAATTTATCACAGAAGAGAAACCACGTGATATTTAATCTTGTATGTCTGGCTCATTTCACCTTATAGACTCCAGTCGCATCCGTTTACCTACAGATGCCTGCAGTTTACCCTTCTTTGTGGCAGAACAGTGCTCCTCTGTGTGTAAACACATTTCTCTGTCCATTCTGTACGCTGTTTCCAAGATCTA